CCTGAACACCGATTACCACGACACGCAATGCTGATTAGTGTTGGAGACGGATGGAAGAAAGTTGGGGGCGGCCTGTTGTGACCCGTTGATCTGACTCCATTTAGTGTGTACGAATGATTGTTATCACCTATTCTCGTATATCATCGTCGACTTAGATCGCGTTAGTCCATAACGGAATTAAATAAGTCAATTAACGAGAATGGCATTTGAATACATATATTTTGTATATGAAGTGAATGAAACAGAGCCAAGCAAAATGACGCACAGGGAGGATGGCTGTGAAGCCAACTCCCTTTTAATTAAGCGTTACTCATTATTTATAGGCAGACAAAATAAGCTACAGACATACAATGAGTCATGGGACATGAAGTGTACACACATATACGCTCATGTGAAAACAGTCAAGGCTAATAAGCGAATAATTGACAAGGTCAAAATATGGCTCAAGTAAAATGAATAAAATAGGATGTCCGGAAGTTAGAATAAGGTATATGGGCTTGCCATAATAACTGACACTACAGGCCAAACCAAAACGTGACGTCAGTCCATAAAGCTACTAAATCCCGGTCTGAGCCTCATGTTGGTAAATGCAGGGTCCGCGTGACTATCGTAACCATTGCTTAGAGACTCTTGGTGACATGGCTTAGAATCGATTACTATGGCATGGGTTTATAAACTCTTTGTCTACCCTTAAACCGTGAGATTAAAATTATTTCATATCTTTCTTTCTACGAGCTGATTCTTTCTTCCTGTACTACACCCTTTCTTTTATATATTACACCATTTAGTTAATTGCTTCTATGAATTTGGTGTTCATCTTGTTGTGCTAATGATGTGTGGTTGGACGGATGCACATATGTGCCTGATCATGCGTTGTAACTGACTGACAAGTCGGACTGAATGTATCACTGGCATAAAAAATTTATCGACTTACACTGAATTGTTTTTGAAGGTTGCTTGACATCAAATTCGATAAATGCTGAAAATTTGATGTTTTACCTTACGGAACTGATTTATCGAGAAGTTAGAGGCCTCATGTATATAATCACTCTTTTGCCGTAGTCTCAAACGAACAAGATTTCACCCATCCCTTTAGAATTCCTTAGAAGCAGGCTAGCATGGGCACTAGGTTATGGTAGGGTGCTTGAGGGGTTGGAACATGGTGTGGCTTCGATGTAACATTATACAACGTAAGGACTAACTTCAGTTAACAGAAGTAGATTGAGATAATTCAGTGAATAACGTGAGCCTCAACATGAGTTTAAGTCGTGTGCACATGGAGAAGCATAACGAAATTACTTAGACTGTTATCGCCATCAATTTTAACTACCTTATTCTGTGAAGACTTTTCATTTTACTGCTGCTATCTCATGAATTTATTTACCAGTGCTCATATAGTGTTCTAACTTGATATTGACTAGTATTCGAATTCAGTTAGCCAACCCACAATTTATTATTATTATTTAGCATGATATGTTTTTCAAAATACCAACCTCTTTCGGGTGGAGCAACAAGACAACTCATTCACATATCTATCTGTAAAATTCGTACTACGATTTACACTGAAACACACAGACGTGACAGGTGACCAAGTACTACAAATAGCTCAAATTGCTTGTACTCAGCACAGTAGTACTCCAATGATGAAGTCATTAGTGCATTATTAGCCGATGTTGGTAGCAATGCTAACTTATTCTTAGAGAAGAAAATAAGTCCATGTCGTTAATGGTATTTTATCTAGGTATGGTAAATTCCGTAGCAGTAATGTGTATGGAAGAGAAAAATAAAACCACGGAGAAGAAATCCCAAGTCCTGTTCAGGTTAGCTTAATAGGCTTAACTTCGGTTGTTCACTAGTTCATATATTTGCTCGACCTCATTACTATTACTAAAGATCCGGCTCATCATCGCAACACCAAGAAGAAAAAGTAAGGAAATAGTCAGGTTCATAAAAATTCGTTACAAACATATAATTCAGAATATAGATCGTGAGTTTGCAGTCAGCTTCATTCATAACCCCACATTCGTCAATCTGAAGCTACTTTCGGTCCGGATCGATATGAAGGAGGACCACCAATTCTACCTCATGAAAGCAACCTTCCTACAAATTAAACAAAAATAGAACCCAGAAAAACGTAAAAGACACCGCCCTTGTAGTTTAAGGGTTCTCATATAGGAGAGTCATTAATTCCCGAAGTGAAAGTCTGGAACCAATAACGTTAGGTTGTTAAAAAGATTGCCACTTGTTTGACTGTACCAAAGGTTAGTATTCCGGAGCATATTCATCCATTTTGTTAGATTTGCTCCGGACTGTCATGATTCGGTTCGTGCAGTTGTGGCTCGTGTTTACTGAAAACAAAACTGCATCCCATATAACCACTAACAGTATCCGTCAGAGCAATTTGAAGAAAGGCTCGGGAATGATACTATAAAAGTAATTGTTGACCGTTTGTACATCAGGTACGAAATCAGCAGTCACCGAAAGCCAAGAGATCTCACTTGTGAAAATATAGGTGAGCGGAATGTCCAGAGAATGTAGGACGTCCTTTCTGTTAGAATCAGACAAGATTATAAGGACCAACCCCATGAGACTGAAGTCTATTGGATAGAAATGCTCAGAAAAACCTGTAAATTATAGCCTCACTTGGTATTAGCAAACTTGTTTATAATATTTGGATGACAGAACTACACCACAATCGTAAATGTGCAGTCATGTGACTACCTGATCTACCAGACATTACGTGGAACTCACATAATTTTTTATACTCACTCATTCTGTTATGACAGTAAATAGTTGCGGCTGAGGACTTATGGAGAATACATCTGGGCTAGGAAGAGAATAATATATTGAATCGGAAAAACGAGTAGTCACATAGTGCCGACCAAATCATGCCGTACCAAACAAGTTTTCCAAGTTTACTATTTCTGACCTCTGAGTGTTAAATGTTGAGTGTGAATCTTCCCAATTACCGTATGTTCGGCTTCAAGGATAATGTAGTTGAGAGCCGATACCATTACAACATAACCGTCCTGATAGAGGACTTGAATGTCAAGGCCAGGATGGGCAATATCTAATATGAATGATTCAAGTGGCAAAGTGGATCGGAAAAAAGCAACAAGAGTGGTGGAAAACTGATAGATCTATGTACTTCCAGTCACATGATCATAAGCGGTAGAACATTTTCCCTTAAATATGCATACACGAAGCTAAATAAGTATAATAAAACCACACTACTTAATAACTGATCGGTCACATATGCAAAAATAAAAAAATACGTGTCAGTGTAAGAATTTAGAGCACGGAATGGACAAAATGTAGCATCCGATCATCATGCAAGTTAAAGAATTGTGCAAGCAGAACTATACGAGTTTCGCACAACCTTACCCATAGATGCTAACGGGTTTAAAATATCTCTCAGCAACGCACTCGAACCCTCACACGGTCTACTAGATGATAACATTATTGAGAGCGATTGTTAGAAAAATTGAAGTACCGACTACACCAAATCAGGGGACTCCAGAAAAACACAAGTGCCCCAAGAGGAGCACCAGGACTAAACAAGTAAAATAGTATGTCCACCCACATTTCATCGAAAGATTATTTGTCTAAGGTAGTTCAGTGGTGTCCAAGGTCACATTGACAATCCGTGTCTCGTTTATTCAAATCACACACGAGTGTGTCCTCAAATTATGAAAACGAACTTGTGAACATGCTGAGGAATCGTTGACAGCGAATAAGACTGAGAAATTCATAAGAATATTTTGCTCAGTGTAATACCACACAGACGAAATTAACATTACGCCATTCACGGTAAAATACGCAGATATACACTGCAGGAACATTTCCACAAGAACCCATGAGATCGATTGATGTAACGGCAAAAAGAATTCCAGCGTTGCATCCAGGCCTTTGAGAAATCACCGTTTAATCTGAAGAGCGAGTGTCACTTGGTTTAATCAGTGATTTACATTGCCTGAAGCGGACCAGTGAGCTTCTGAGGAACTTACTTTTCTACAAACTGACCTTCTGTAAGTCAATAAAACTGTTGAGCATAGAACAGCTAAATAGCCAAGGCCGAGACAAATAAGCCATTTGGTTTATAAGACTTCAATCTATTTCTAACATAAAAACTAACGCAACTAGTGCGAGAAGATAACGTTCCTAGAAAAACAGGAAAATACCAACCAGGTATGTGTTCGATCACCTACATAAGAGTAGACAGCAATTTTTGAAAATCTCCCTCTATATCCCATTAGTTTTGAGGCCAGTTTGTATGTTAACCAAATGTCGCTTCGTGAAAATTTTAAATTAGAGAATCTCTATAGAGCCCCTATGCAAACGACACAAAATAGGGTGGTAACTGATACAATTATAATTACTCCCTTTCGAGTAAAACTCTGAATTGTACAAACTTGATGCTTGCTATCTCAGTAACACGTGCATTTGTTATTGATAAGATCCCTCTTTAAAGAAATGATGTGAATTTAAGAACACAGTTCAAGACTGTCATTCACCACTGGATATATTTTGATACTCTACTATCTAAACATAATTTTAAAATATAGTTAGGTCTCCAAAATTAGGGTTTATGTCGCAGAACAAATTTCTTAGAAATACTAGTCCATGTATCAACTGAAGTGTGTAAACGCCACTAGATCAAATGCCAACAATTTTCAACTTGTCTTAAGTCTAACCACAGGCTCATTGTAATTATCTTCAATTAATTGTGAGATGGACTGCGTTCACTATCGAACATGCGAAAGCAGTAGGTTGATATCTTCGTTTTGATGCTATAAATACTTCATCAACATAGTTGTATTATTTTATATCAACAAACTGTATTAGTGAAACAGTGCTCTCCAAAATCCTGATAACCATAAACACCAAAGAACCGATGAATCTAACCAAGAAACTTTCCTATAGTTTTTTAAGTGTCGACCTAAAAGAAGACGGAGTACTCACCCTAAGAATAGTCAATTTAGTATGGAAAAGGTGAGTTTTGATAGACGTCTACTGAAATGAAAAATAGTATTACAAATAGCTGGTAATCACCAAGTAGGGATCAACAAAACATCTTGATGTAAACGTACATATTTAAATTGTGTGGCTTAATGAATATTACACTAATAATCAGGGCCTATCACTTTATCAATTATAATGATCATAATTCAAAGTTAAACGTTTACTCAATAGATGAATTAGCAAAATAACAACCATGTGTAGAAAACACTAAATTTGATGTTTATTTCTTGGTGCATCTTATATACACAACGTTAAGGAAACACACAGAATATACGAAAACATAAAACAAAATGGATTAGAAAGTAGCGAGCTAAGAATGCTGTTCAAGTTCTGGATTCCCCATCTCTATTTCATCATCATTGTATATATTCTCAGCCTAAAATTGAATTAAATGTTTAAAAACCACAATGGATATGACTAGCTTTAAACTAAAGAAAAATAGAACGAAACAAATGTATTTTATGTATAATATATATGGAATTTGGCGGGTAGTATAATTCAGGACTCGCGTGACGTCATATTTTGAACTTGTCAGCTGAATGTATCTGCATCTGAGAGTCAATGTTCACTTCATGAAATGTTATTTACTTAGCCACTGAGTTCAGGTAGCCATTCCCTTGTATAACAGGTATCAATTTTTAATTTAATTTGTCATGGCTCGGATTGTCCAGTTGTTCATATTTCGACCAAATTTTGATCGGTCAGTGAACATGGACTCTGAGACTTACGTATATCCAGCTGACAAGTTAAAAATAGCACGTAACGTGTGTTCTGAATTATACTACTTGTCAAATTTCATAAATTGTATATAATTTTGAGATAATGGCTACATCGATCGAATCCGCATAGGATGCACATATGCCGGCTAAGACTGATCAAAATTCAGTCAAAAATATCAACAACGCGATTATCCAATCGATTACGAATTAAAATAAAAAATATATATTATGTATTTATTGATCAGGCTTCTCATCTTATATGACTAGTCGATTTCTCGAGAATTGTTCTACCATTTCTTCATTTCTATACATAAATTAAACGAAAATGAGATTAATATTGTCAAACCAGCGGTAAATACTAAGTTTAGTTAACAGATATACCGCCCCCAAATGCCCTGGTACGGCCGAGTGTAGGGAGAGTCCGCTCTCCCTCTTGAAATGCTCTCACAAGGCCACGTGCAGACAACCACCTCCAGGGAAGTTCTACTCACTGCCTTCTCGAGGTGGGGGTGTTGTTTACGAAATTGAGAGGACGAAAAGCGAATGTCTGGCGCTTTAACCGGATTAGTGGATGCGAGGAGTCCACCTAGGGGAGTTGGAAAAATCCGATTCAAAACCAATGGTGCACATGGGCTCCAGTATCCTGGAGGAACAAACGGAGTATGAACCTATTGTTGGTCATCAGCTATCATGGGACTGCATCTCCCTATGTTGCTCCACTGCCTTGTGTTGGCGGGACATAGACTGGATTAAAGCATGCTCAATGCACGATTGCTTTGTTGCACACTGATTGGATAAGAATGAGCCAATCAGCACTAGTCGATACTTGGAGAATACTCTAGAATCTTTTTATGTAAAAACTATAAATATACTAACGTTTTCCCTATTGTGCTTCTTACTTCCATCTAACCTTGTTATTTGGAATATAATCTCTTTCCTGTTCAACTGTGTTCTGATTTGGGGACTTGTCGAGTGAATCGGTGTCCAAGAATACTAAGCAATAGGAATAGCTGGGTCATAACCGTAAGAAAGAGATTATAACACCTTGTGAATCAGACCTTTAGGTCAAAGGCTTCGGGTGTGACCCCTTAAGAAAACCACCTGCTTCGGTTTGTGCACCCGGGCAGTATCCCAACCCTCGCACAAATAGAATGATCTATGTGACGCACATCTATTTAGTGCCTCCTTGTACCAATGTTTATGTGCTTAAATAAATAAATAAAATAAATAACAGATATACCGAATACCTGAGAATCTAGAGACACTTTAACTGTTTGACATTAATGTACGCAGAAAATCTTTAGAAGTTTACGAATAATTTTATCACTGGATTTATTTATTTTACAGTGAAGAGTTGAGCAGGCATAATTAGCAATACCTCGCGAGGAAAACTCTAAGAATGTCACGTCAACGTTTCATAATAAACGGGTGTAAATATTGTGTCAAATAGCATTGATTAGTGATTGAATGACTCAGTCTTTAATCAGTAAGACGGAAGTTTTAATCACTCTTAACTTAATCCAGTTTGAACAGCTCCAGTTTCTCTAATCTTCACTCAGTGTGGCTCAAAGTCGAATACAAAAACGTGTACTTGGTAAATAAGTTACATTTAGTATGACAATATTTTTATGTCAAATTCAACTTCATAAACTGAATGCATACGAAAAATTAACAATTTACCATTTGCCAGATCTGTAAAATATTATCCTCAGATACAGAGCAAATAGCCCACGGATCATTAATATTCCACGAAAAATCTGAAATCTTTGCTGTATGCCCAGCATGAATGAACAATAACTCAGGAGGTCCATCATCCGCATCTTCAGCAGTCTGATCAATACCTATCTTACTTAAATCCCAGACATGAAGACGACGATCAGTCCCTGAGCTTGCCAATATAGTTTCATTATGTGGAGACCACTGGACCTAATTAAAATACATTACAAATGGTTTTTAAAAAAATCAGATTCAACTTTTCATTAAAGTAACCTTTAGTGGAATACGTTCAGGCGATACAACCATGTTTATACCAAACATCAGTAGCACTTAAATAGAAAATGAAAGCAGCTGAATACCAATTTTCATAAAAAAGATCGTTTTCACAATATTCGGGAATTGTTTACCTTAACTTTAGTAGCATTGTGCTTAATGTTTATGCCTTCAACCAACAGTCCCAAGAAGCAATATATTTCGTAAAATTTTTATATTACATTGAGAAGTCAATACACTAGTGTTGTGAGCAGCCTAGTTTTCTAATACGATGACGCGAAAAAAATATTGAACAGTCTTTTCCAAGCAACATTATTGTTTTTCATTTGAATACACCTGAAGAATTCTAGTTTAGCACATTTCATTCATGATTATATATCTGGTGTTTTGTCAATGTTCAACGTAAGCTGATTTATTGTAATGTTTTAACTATCGACTTAGTAAGGATAAAAGCAAACCTACGATTTAGAAATAAACCGTGAATGGTACATTATGCAAAGTAGTGAACACAATTATTTACTTTTCAAATGAACCAATAAATTATGTGAATATGTAGTGATAAGGGTTAGTCATGTGATTATCTTATTTAACTAATTTCTGCTACCCTAAGATATATCTAACAATGATATCTGGATCGTTTTTAAGAACGGAAAGAAGGTTTGATGCTGTAAGCAAACATATTAGGCGAGCTGCGTTCCTAAAAGAGTAGTTACATGAATTAGATGATCGTTACACAATGTTGTAATTCAACACAGTCCAGTAAAATCAAATAGCAAGAACATAAAATAGTAATCTTAAAAACTAGAATATTTCATCACCTTTCCCTTTACTTTTAACTCAAAGCTAAAAATGATCGAAAAACTAGGTAATACTATCAATCTGAATGTGAGTTTGTATAACGTAGTAAACACATTGACAAAACAAATAAACTAATGTGATAATTAGGAAATTTCAAAGATGTATTTAAAAAATGCTGAATTTCTACCTGGAATATTTCATCCCTATGAGATTCAAATGAATGTAGCTTCAGCCGAAGATTACGCAGATCCCAAAGAGCAACAGTCTACAGATATTTTTGGATAAAAAATGCTATATTAAAGGCATTGGTTATAAATTGCAAATAACACCTGATTTTAGATAACTGAAATATTTTAAAGCCAACAGCATCTTGGAACGGATGGGGGTCATGATATTAATATAACAGTGGTACACATATACTCCAACATACAGCTCATTTTCATAACAGAATAATGAATTCATTTACTGAGAATCTGACAAAATAATCGATGTAAAAACAAACACAATAAAATTAAGTATGATTAATTAGTTAGTCCCCGCCCAACTAAATAATAAAACTACATAACCACAGTAAAATAATTAACTGCACTAATGTTACTCTAACTGACCAATCAGTACACGTATAACCAAGAAACAATCTTGTACCATGTACACAGCAATAAATTCAAACAACATTTATTTCTCCCTTTCTTGTTGGATGAGTCATAAATAATGAGAATATTGGTCCTGAAGACAAAGTATATCCGAACGAAGTACAGTCAGTTCATTTGAAGTTGATTGAGAATCAACTTCTTTTAAAATGATTTACGGAACAAATAAATTAACAAGAGCTTTGTTAATCTGAAAACTAACTAACTAACTATATATATATATCCACACTGATTTTTGAAGCTGATGAATGAGTTAAAATGAACTTAGTCACTTAAATAACGAACGTCATACAAGAAACACCTCAAACTAACGTAATAGGAAAACAAATAATAAAACGTTTGCTAAGTATGCACAACCATCGCCTACTTTATTGTTCAAGGATAATTAGTGTTGGAAGAAACATGAGAGAGGACAAACGAAAACGTGGTAAGTTCATGAAGTTACACTGAAACGTGTAAGTAGATGTAGATAACCTGGTTAGTACCCGAATGATCTTCGTAACCAATGGTTGATGTTGGATGACATCGTTCAGAGCCATTCGCAATGGCTCAGGTTCACTAACTCTTAGTATTCCTTTAGAGCATGAGTCCCAATATCTTATACACCTTTTATGCACATAATAGTCTTATTACTGCTACCGTTGATTTTGTTATCACAGCCACTATTCCGGAAATAATCTTTTTAATGTTATATCACTGTGTTGATGTGATGTTGCAACTTGAACCGATGTATATGTGGCAGGTCCTATACTGAATGTGGCTGTTCGAAGGACATGTATTTCTGATTACATTTACAAAACGATTATCACTGTCTCCAGATTTATCGCGAAGTAGGTGAATGGCTCGAATCTGCAAGCTAATGACCGAAAGCTCAGTACTTTTAACCTCTAAGCCACAGCTCTACGGTTAATTTTACTGAATTGGAGAGGACTAAATTGGGCTAATAGAAATAAATATTCACAAGTTTCGCAACATAGTTGACTTAAAAAACCAATGATATTGTTTCATGAATGTTATTTGGTTATTCACGTTTAAAAAGAGATACGAGGATAAAATACTTAATTACTTTGTCTGCACTTCCCGTCGCAATAATAAACTCAGAAAACGGATTAAAAGCAAGACAATTGACTTCGGCTGTATGAGCATCTACTTGGTGCTGAGGTTTTGTACGATTTGAACTCCGTGTATCCCAAACCATAAGTTTGTTATCATCTGCTACTGAACCAAAAATATGTCCATGGAAAAGATGCCAAGAAACATCCTCAACTACTGAATGATGACCCGTAAAGATAGCCATCGCATCTAGATCACAGCCATCTAAAGGAGCAGCATTAACATCCCACAAACAAATTGTCTGATCATCAGATGCTGAAAGGAGATGACCATTAAGAGACACATTCCATGAAAGACCATAACCTTCTTTTTGATGACCCTAAAGTGAAGACCGAATAGAAAAGCAATGCAATTGCTCAATAGAAGGGACACGTAATCCGGTATAACATAACAATTGGTCTCACAGTAAATGGAGAAAAATCCAAGACAGTTTGTTAGTTACGTGAAACCAAACTCCATGTGAGTTATTAAAACTTACGAAATTTATGGTTAAAGTAAATTAATCAGTATACCAATCAAACAATTTTATGCAACATTGTTGAAAATAGTCAACCTCCTCCCAAACTAAAGTAAAAATCCAAAATATGGTTTGTCTAATAACAGAGCACGAGAAAATAATACGAGTCTTGAAGTCGAAAACAGTTACTAACGTACTGGTTCATCTGCCAGATGGCATCTGAACTTTAAAGTATGTCCTAAGATAGAATAATTTCAAGATTTACGTGAAAATAATTTCATACGGTCACACATTAATAATTTTTGACCGCCATCTAGTGGTAATTGTTTTTCTCAAAACTTGTTATCTGGCATTGAAACTGAATTCGTCAAAAGAGAGTATTTATCTAAATGGGTTACAGAACACTAATTACGCACTGATGATAACTATGAAATTTCATGGAAAGAATTTTACATAATTACATTATTCTTTGATTAATTTCATGCTGATGTCTCTTTCCTTACATCTTCATGATGTTATGGTATTCTGAGGTATATTTCTTGATTCAAATGTTTTAAGTTTGTCTAAATGATAGCTAATCAGAAGAAATTTTCCCCTGGATTTTTTTTCAATTTGAGGCAGTTGAATATCACACATTCTCTATGAGACTAAATCAAAGTAAGAATCTCTGAATGTATCTTTTTTAGTTTAATGTTGGTGACAGAATTATGATGTATTTATTTTCAGCACTGTATTCTATGGTTTGTTCTGTGGTCACACATACTTTATTATATACTGGATTCAGAAAAGGGTAATAAAACGAGATGAACACCAATAGTATAGTACCTTGAGACGTAAATCAGGTTGGCAACCACGGTCTGATGGAGTTTTCGGTGGATGTCTTGGGTAATTAAATATTAAAACATCACCACTTGGTGTTTTGGTAGCTATTATGTCTGGATTCTGTGGCATAAACCGAGCACGATTGACTTCACCTTCATGATTTATTTTCATTGATATTTCCAACTTCCCAGATGGAAAATAAAATCCCCCGAAATCACCTCGTTCACTATCATAAGCACTTGCATCAAACTCTGCCTGGTCATTTGGTAGATGAACCGTAACTATCAATAAATGATTTTGCTCATCAGATGTGTGAGTCCCCAGTATTAAACGATGAACGGAGTAATCTCGCCCAGTCCTGTAGAACATTATTTGAGAAAACTACCTACCTTTCCACAGATGGCAGCCACTGAGCAGTTAAACTTGGCCATTCCAAGCAGTGTGACATCAGCATATCGTACAAGAACGGAGTATTCCTCTTCCATATCTTGTATTCTTCATTTATTACTCTCTCTTCGACAATATCTTCAGAATCTGAAGGATGCAACTGTCATTTTTGATTGAAATAGTTAGTAAGTTAACTTACCATCATTTTTATTATAGAATACGCTTCAGAAACGGTGTAACCCCCTTTGAATAATTACACAAATGCTTCGTAAAGTGTAAACGGTCTTAGAATACAGAAAACATGAGAGGAATTAGGAAAGAATTACGAGTATTCCAACAGTAAAATACAAAACTATGGGAAATAGAATTTTCATCGTTGTATGTCGAAAGTAAAGTGTAGTTATTACATACCCAATACTAGTTTCCTAAACCGCATGATGAATAATACAAATTTATGTAATCGGCTTTGAGCAACACTTATGTATAAGGAAAACTGACAAGAAAATACTCGGTCGCCCAAACGGATGTACAGCGAGGACGAGGGTTAACCAGAAAACAATGGCTCGGAGTCAAGAACTTCGACGACTAAACTACCAAGTCGATAATTTAAATAGCAATTATAAATACTAAATGTGCTTTCCTAGAGAGCTTACATTATGCAAATATATTAGGTACAAAACAATGTTACGACAGTAAATGTAAAATCTATTTAAGGCATTCGAAACAGTCTCTTCGGATGTGAAGCGGTAGATCAAACATCTGGGTCATTGAATGTGCAGGTTAGAAACCCACTCTATCTACTTCGATTTGAGAAAAGTACCATATAGATCTGATTCAAACCTTAGGACAAAAACCTGTACCTTATTACAGAGTTAATATTTAACTGGGATGTAGCCAATTTTTGGACACCGTGAAATTGCATAAAACAGAAGTCTTAGTTTAGTTAGGTGGGTTTGTACAATCACTAACCAGAATACCATGGATGGTTTAGGGCTACCCAGCTGTGAATTAGGTTTATTGGCGTTAAGCCACATGTTTGAACACTCGAAATCAGACAAGGTTTTAAAGATTTCCACTTGCGAATAATGAGATAAACCATCCAAAACAATAACTGATACTGTCAGAATTATTTATTGGAGGCTTTCATAACCGCGAATAAAACACAAGGATCTAACTAAACTACTAGTTATTGAAAAAACTGCCTATAGGCAGATTTCATCAAACCTTTATGTCCAAAAAGTGATTGACCACCGTTAATCTTTTAGAAAATAAGTGCTGTTTTCTAAAAGTACCACTGCTATACCTGAACCAGTACTTCGAATTCAGTTCTTGTTCATTTTTATTCCAGATAGACAATGGCTTTATAAATTTTATTTATCTCTCACATTGTACATGCGATTGTAATCAACCCATATTATAGACCCAATAAAACATGTTTATTTGAGTTTCATGGCATAATTCCTGAGTAAAATTCAAGACGGGAGTCTTCAGTTACCTAAAACGTAGAACCAGGCACACATATGCATTGGTACAAGTTGCCACACCTCATTAGCACAACAAGATGAACACCAAATTCATAGAAGCAGTTACTTCAATGATAATAAAAAAATTCATATAAGGATACAGGGAGAAAGAATTAGTACGTAGAAAGAAAGATATGAAATAATTTTAATCTCACGGTTTAAGGGAAGACAAAGAGTTTATAAACCCATGCCATAGTAATCGATTCTAAGCCATGTCACCAAGAGTCTCTAACCAATGGTTACGATAGTCACGCGGACCCTGCATTTACCAACATGGGGCTCAGACCGGGATTTAGTAGCTTTATGGACTGACGTCACGTTTTGGTTTGGCCGCCCCTAACTTTCTTCCATCCGTCTCCAACACTAGTCAGCATTGCGTGTCGTGGTAATCGGTGTTCAGGCATACGTAACGCATGGCCCAAGCATCTCAGTCGATGAAGATTCACAACGCCATCAACTAGTTTACCATCACTTCCTAATACCCTGCATCAAACCTCACTATTACTTACCCGGTGATCCCAGCAGATGCGAACAATATTTCTAAGACATCTGTAATTAAATACTAGTAAATTACGAGTATCCTCTACTCTTAATGGCCATGTTCCCCAATCGTAAAGTAGAACATAACGAACTGCTGCACAGTATACTCATCCTTTATCTGAAAGACGGATATCTCGCGTTCGCCAAAGGTAACATAAGTTGGCAAAAGCCAAACAAGCTTTTTGAATCCGTACTGAGATTTTGCCAGACACCAACCCATTAGGGCTGATCAGGCTTCTAAGATAAGCGAAGTCGTCGATGCGTTCGACTACTTCACTACCTACGTTTAGTTCAGGTGTTGACGCAGACCAGTCTTGAAGCAACAACTTCCATTTAGAGGAGGAGGAACGCATCCCAAATATTCTGGTATTATTGCTGTGCTACCAAAATACTTCACATTTTATCAGTGTCTCCACTAAACAGGACTATGTCATCTATGTATTCTAAGTCGATAAGTGGACCTCCTGAAAGGAGCTCAATATCCGAGAATTCAGTCGACGAGAACGTTATTTCCATAAGTAGGTCTATGACGAAATTGAACAAAAATAGATAAAGTGGACAGCCTTGACGGACACCACTTGAAGTTGCAAAATCAGATGACAGTTCGCCATAAGCTCTCACTCGACTAGTAGTGTTCGAGTACAGAGCCCTTACAAGGTTTGTGTACTTCTGAGGTACATCTTTCAATGACAGACACTGCCACAGAACCTCTCGGTCTACAGAGTCAAATGCTGCTTTTAGGTCAAGAAAGACCACCATTGTCGGACGCCGATAAGCATGGTCGATACAGCCACGACTAGATCTGAAGCCAGCCTGATTTCCACGTGTTTGCAGTTCACGAGTCTTAGGCGCCCGATAATTATTGAGGCCAGTATTTTAGATGCTATACTAGTTAAACTAATTCGTCTATGGTTATCATAGGATGATTTCGATCCTTTCTTATATATTAGGACGATCAGTGATTGCGACCAGTCAGATGGGATTACGTACAATTCCCAAATTCTACCTAAGACCTCAGTTAATCTCACTGCTAATACTGGAACGCTATCCTTAAAAATCTCGGGAATGAACCTGTCAGGGCCTGCTGCTCTCCATCGCTTCAGATTTCGGATAGCTTTTTCAACTTCATAAAGAGTTGGAGGACCTAAATTAACTTGCCATTCAGGTTGACTGGAGATCGTGGGAAACCGAAGTGTGGCTGAAGGCCAGTTGAACTGATCCCTAAAGTTTTCTGCCCATCGATCCAATCTCCTGGATTGAGAATGTATAATATGTCCATCTTTCTCTGAGACTGTTTCGCTAACAGTCGGTTTCCTAATACCGGTTTCCCTAACGAGTCTGAACAATTGTCTGCAATTACCTATTGCCGCTGCCTTTTCCATCTCTCTTGTTTTCGCTACCCACCACTGTTTGCGATCACTGCGTAGGCTTCTTATTAGCTTGTGCTTAATCTGACTCCGCTCTTCGTTATGTTCATAGCCAGATGGAATGAGTTTTCGAGCATCTATCAGTGCGATAGATGCTGCTGAGATCCTGTGTTTCCCCCTAACTTTATGGTTTACCGTACTTGCAGACATCACTGTTGTTACCACAGCTTTTCGGATGTCATTCCACGCTACCTCGGGGTGGGCATCGCTTACATGGCTGCCCAACTTTTTCTAGTTGTTCCTCAAATATACTCTGGGCATGACTATCATCAAGTAGGACCCTAAGGGGTTTCCTTGCATCATCTTTCCCACATCCAGTAAGACGTAGACAAATATGCGCTCGCACAGGAGCATGAACTGAGTCTAAGCATGTGCTCCAGAATGAGCGACAGTCTTCTATCGAGCCTTTTCATCGGTGGCCGATAGCGGTGTGATGTATTTGGGTCCAACGTTGGGACAAATTCGGGGGTCGCCATGTCGAAATATGTTTTTCCTTATGTTCAAAGTTAGTGATTGCAAGAAACAGGCGGTTATCTGAGCATAGCTGCAACAGGTGGTCGCCATTATTTGTTCTTTGAGCCATGATACCATAAAATCCACCCAGGTGTCTTTCCCTTTAGCTTAGTTTACCTACTTGAGCATTAATGTCGCCAGCCATTATTACTACATCAGAGCGCTTAGCTTTTCTGAAAAGCTCGGAAAGCTTTCTATAAAACTCATCTTTTACATCGTCTGAGCTGCAGTCAGTGGGAGAACAGGCAGAGACGACGAAGAGGCAACGACGAGTGTCCCTATCTTTCCGATTCCTTACTGTTCCGTTTAGTCGGACAGCGCACAAACGACTGTCTACTGGGATCCACTCTAAGAGAGCTAGTTCTGCCCTAGGACTCAATGCTATACCTACGCCGGCGAGGCCACGAGAAGCAGAATCAGGGCTTCCAGAAAAACGAAGCGTGAATCGAATTGGTTCGTTGTTTTGACATGGTGAGGTCCTATATGCGCGTTTCGGAGACGCAGCACACATCGATGGCTCGAGATTCTAAAGTCCTAGCTAAAGAAGCCTGTTGTCCTATTTGGCACAGTGTTCGGACGTTAAAAGCTCCTACGTGTAGTTTAGAGCGTGGTTTCAGGAGACCAGGAATAACGTTCCGCGTACTTGAATCGTTTGCCCTAGCGGTGCGAGGTGATAAAGAGAGGCAAGAAGGGTTAGTCGTGGAGATAAGAGAGGTATTAGGAGGTGTAGGAAGGATTTGGATGTGACCAACTTGGTCTCATATGCTGTTACGGGTATGAGGGCTGATGTAACTTCCCGGCTGCCCACACCATGGAAGGGTATTTCTTGAGGAACCTGAAAAGAAAGTTGGATTAATGTTGGCCTTAACGACCCGGCAGCGTGACTGCAGAGCCCAAGGGACAACTGCTTGAGGCCAGTTGCGCACGGCATTTTTGTGGGAGGTTTGTGACGTGTTAGCTCCGTTATTCAAAGAGTCTTACCGCCAAAGACGGAAATCCGTGAGGTAAGGTGAGGTGTGACACTTTTAGGGTGGATCTTTTCTAGCCCCTTCCTTCCTTGTGAGAAGACAGCATAGCTGCAGATGCTGGTTGTCCGAGGGAAACACCATACTGCTGTCACACCCTTCTACAGTCAGCAGTACGACTTCGCCCTCAGACCTTAAGTTGCTGCTTTTAGTCTTACAGTTCTCCAACCGACCTGCCTGGCATGGTAGAACCTACAGGAACATATGTCCCAGCCAATATAACTGAGTTGGGTCATCACGATAGGCAAGCCCGACCACCGCATCAAGGTAGCAGCTAAGGTCCGGGGATGTCCAATTAGCGACATCTCTACACAAATGTAGTTTATCTTGAGTCAGATAGCACAAATATTTCAGAATATGTTTTCAGATGTAACATACAACCCACATCTAAATTAACCATCAGATCAGATGCAGTAATTATGATAGTTAATGCTCAGATGAAATAATCCTGGAGATGTTTAAGAATAGTGGCTGAATGTTGACGGTTAGATTGATTGAGATATTAGCTATTATTCGGGAACTGGACGTAAATCAATCTGATTGATCTCGATCGCTGATAATTTCATTAAGGGATGACAGAAATCCTCTTGTGACAGACGTAATGGAATCAGTTTGATTAGTCGTTTCTAAATTATTTATTTTGATAATCATTAAACTTAAATAGAGCTCGTGAAAACCAAACCCAAAAACCTAGGCTAATTCCAGACATGGAAGTCGATGTGTAGATCAGATATTTTCCCTTCGTGAGGTTCTGAAACCCAGCCATATCCACCAACTCTCAGTAATAATTGTATTTCTATCCTCAAAGCAACGTTACACTTCGTAGATAGACAGATTTTATGGTAGTCTCTGGGACTGAAAAGTGTACCGAGGGAGTACATTAACCTCGTGCAGGCTCTACCTGGACACTAGTCGGGTTAGAACTTATGGTGAACTGTTATCAGAACTGTCAATCTTAAGTGGTGTTCGTTGTGGCTCTCCACTCCGTTTATTTTTTGTCGTAGATATTCTACATACAATCCCCACATTATATGGCTTCACATAAACAAATCTACCAAGAAATTCGTTTGTCCACTAAGAACAGGCAGATGAGAGTCCTATTCGGCGAAGACATTGACGAGACGCAAGGTCTTTTGGTCGCCTCGAGCAACAATACATGCACGTCTGGGACGTGTATGTCTCTCTTTGAATACAAAATGCTTCTCCAAGAATGGGCTACTTCGAAGCACTAACTAGTGGTAAAGAATCGAGTAATTGAGCAAGTCGATCCCTTCACTTGTCTTGGACATCTCACTAGCCCTAGTGGGTTGGTGGGTTTCAGAGTCTTGACACGGATTCAGGAAGCTAGGTTGGTATTACCCAACATGTTACTTGAGGTATTAGGGAAATATCTGTCTGCCAACAAAAGGAAGAGTTTACTCTGCAACAGTTAACTCTATTCTAACTAGATATGTGAAGTTTGGTTTTCAAATGGAGAACATTTGTGGATTGCCAGTAACTAATCATAGGTTTTCTCAAAGGACTGTTTGTATACTTAAAGATTATTGAATGAGCAATGTTGGTATCAGACACAGGCTACTAGGTAAGAATGTTAAATCGGTTGATTAAATGGTTAATCTTCATCGACTGAGGTTGCTGGAACCATCGCATACTTCAACATGAAAGGATGGTTGGTGTAAGAATAAGTTTGAAGAAACATGGGAGAGGACAAACGAAAACGTGGTAAGTTCATGAAGTTGCACTGAAACGTGTAAGTAGATGTAGATAACCTGGTTAGTACCCGAACGATCTTCGTAACCAATGGTTGATGTTGGATGACATAGTTCAGAGCCATTCGCAATAGCCAGGTCCCTTCAATTTTGGTATTTCTTGAGACCATGAGTTGCTTAACTGTCTTACTACTTAAGCTTCTATCGTATCTCTATGTGCTGTGGTGAGCTTGAACAAATTTACATACGCGGCAAATCCTAGGTTGAATCTGAGTCTCATCGTGCAAATCCTACTTTAGTGATAGCTCCAGCCTCTCGAAAGATAAAGAAGTTTTATACAGGTTGTATGAATTAAGTATCTAAATCAACCAGTCAATAGCTCAAATATAGTGCAAAAGTATGACTAGAAACGAAAAATAGTACCCGTAGGAATCGAGAGCGATAGAGTAAAGTAGCTGTAACCATAATAGTCCAAGATTGCGAGTAGCAGATAAGAAACTAGTACGTGGTTTTTAGTAGTCTGAAGCACTTATCTTTAGTTTATTCCAGGAACAGGATAAACAAAAATGATAAATGTTTGGCGAATTTACTATTATTAAGACAAAACGTTCACTTTCAAATCTAGCTGTGATATACTCAGTGAAATGCTAGTATACTTATTAAAGCTGATTGAGAAAACATAGATATCACTTATGACAATGTGCCAGGTTCATTAACGACGAAAAACGCCATAGCAGAAACAGGAATCGTGGAAACAAATTACAAACTCGAGTTGTGAAGACAGAATTAAGCGAGATTTATGATAGTTGGTACGATTACATGAGTAGATACGTCTAGATGGTTCGAATTCCCTGTTAATAAAAATGTTACCATGAGCTTAATACTTGAGGAACTCCAGAATATTTACATATATATGACGGTACACTCAGTATGTTATGGTTCAGTGATATTTATATACACTAATGCATCTGTATAGACAGTAAGTGACTAGAAACTATTAAGTTCGGAAGCCGAATATCACCCATACTGCGTCATCTTTCGAGTAATGATGAAGAGAGGCAGACCACAACACATTCCTAACATGAAAATATGTAGAACCCCGCAACAATACAAGCTACCATCTAAAACAAGTAAAAAAAACACTAAAACTAACAGGGTTATGCTTGAACAATAATCCATACAAAATGATGAGTGGACGAATGTTTAAAGTGATTATTAGGAAACTTGACTACACTATATTTTAAATTATTTTGAAGCAATCGTCATAGGGTTACTACGGTTTCTTCAGACATTGAGCGAAAAAAATGAAGGCCAGAAAAAAGCTGGTTTGCTGTCTAACGCTCGTCTTCAAAGGGAAACGTTGGAAAAAAGTGAACATAACCAACAGGACCAGGGTCATCATCTATTACACAGTATATTTCCCCTTCACAAACAATAAGGAATTACATGAAAATTACAGCGCCCAGTCGAATTAAGAACCTAATTCTTTCGACAACCATGTTAATTAATCGCTATAGGCTACATCCGCACTACAATATTAGGTAATTACACAAAAATGAAATAATGGTGAAACTCAAGTAAGTAGATGAGCCAACCAGTTCTAAGATAGCGCCTTTAGAAATTAAGCGGGAACTCCATTTATTTCTCAAGGTGAATTAGCACTTGTCAAGGTCGTACTTTAACTTCAATTCCATCACGAGAACTCCAAAGTAAAATTTGTGGTCGGAAGACAATCGCAAAGAAATAATGAAAAACTGCTAATTTAATTGACATAAAAAGATAGTGACCTACTCCATCTGATGACTAGCACTGAAATTGGAGTGGGTTCTGGTTCAGATTCCTTTACAAATATTAAATTTATTGTGTTTTTGTGGTATTTGCGCACTCTAATGATTCTCTTAAACTTGATTATCAGCTTTATTCCAATTTCACATATGGTACTTTCATTTGTGCTCATTTAGTTCTATTTGCTGTGAATTGCACTGTTTTGTGACTTCGTAGTTAGTACGATTATTCAAATACTTCTAATCATTACAGTTGCGTCTCTTATTTTGTATTTTGGTCTGGACTACACCAACATAATAATACCAGATCATTGAATATAATCCCAGATGCAAGAAATAAAGTCTTTGGTAGAAACCATACTCCATTATGCAGTGCTAATCCACTAAACGAAGAGTAAACAGCCGAAAATTCTGAATGCAACACTTTACTTGAACGGCGAAACGTAGTGGATAACCACAGACAATTTTTTATCTAAAATTTATGGATTTTCTGCGTAAGGTTATTTTTTTGGTGAGATATGTATGTTCCACGATATTACATAGGCCATGTAGTATAGATATAGTAAAGGAACGAAACAATGAGTCTTTGGTTTTCAAAAAGAGTAGAACTGTAACAGCTTAGGTTGGTTGATTAAGAGTTGACCTCAAACAACCAAGCATATGCCAAAACAGTATTGTTCAAGTATTCATTCACTTCCTTATTTTGTATAAGCGTTGTATTCCCTATTATCTTATATTGAATGTTGAGAGCCTTTGTTTGTCTGAACAGATAATCCCACGCTCCACTGTGACTGCGCGAAGATCGAAATAAAGACCTATTCACTACTTGTCTGGTTTCTTCTATCAATAGCACGAGGGTTACCTTAAGACACGAAGCTGGTGAGCCCTTTTGAACACAAATTTAACCTCATTTCTGTTATTAACATTTTTTTACTTAATCGTAAAAGTAGGCCTGATAATCCGTAAACTAAGTTGAGTATATAACTAGTTCATTCCGTATTATCTTAAGTTATTCGTGTTATAGTAACCACTTTTTGTGCTAACTTTATTGCTATATTTGTCACATACCTCATGTCAGACTCAATAGAAACCCATAATCTGGAGGATTTGTCACCAGTGGAGATAGACACTGTCATGACTACGAAATCCCGACTTCCAGAATTTAATCGTAGTGATCCTGAATTGTGGTTTGCTCAACTGGAGCATTATTTCACGAGACACAATATCAAATCTGAAGGGATTCGCTATAGAGACTTGTGTTCTATCCTTCCTCCTTCAGTTGCCAAAGAAGTCCGTGACTTGATTTTAAGTCCACCATCACCACAACCATACACCATCTTAAGACGAGAGATAATGAACCGTTTATCATTATCAGACAGTCAAAGAATCCAAAGACTTTTTGAAGGTGAAACACTAGGTGATATGTCGCCGTCACAGTTTTTACGTCACCTCCAAGTCTTAGTGAGTGATAACACAGTGGGTGAAGCAGTCCTAAAACAAGGATGGATACAAGCTCTCCCATGCTACATCCAACACTGTTTGGATGCACAAGATCCTGAAACTTCATTATCTCATTTAGCGCGTATAGCCGATAGAATAATGGAAAGAGGTCCTCCAACTGGATCAGGCACAATAAATCACACACAAAAAGTAGAATCAGCAAAAGACCCCGTCATAGAAGGACTCATTGCGAGTGTTAAGAGTCTCACTGAGGCTGTCACCAGAATGCAAATGGGTCATAGGAACAGGAGCAGGTCACCACAACGACCACGATCCAAGTCACAAAACAGGTCACAAATGTCCAGACAATCTGGGCAGTTTTGTTGGTACCACTGGAAGTTTGGTGTCAACTCAACCAAGTGCATGCCACCATGCGCCTGGCCTAAGCATAATTCTAAGACAGCGGAAAACGAGTAACCCCTCCCCAGGTCGCGACGACTGAGGAGGGGCGCCTAAACAGTCGCTTGTTTTATGTTAGAGACAGAAACTCGGGCTTGAATTTCTTGGTGGATACTGGCGCTGCTCTTAGCATCATCCCTCAAAATAAAATTGAGATTAGTCGAGAAACATCATCAATTACACTTCAAGCTGCAAATAAAACTAAAATCACGACATTTGGGCAGAAAACTTTAACCCTAGATTTGGGGTTCAAGAGGCAATTTCCTTGGGGTTTCACGGTAGCTGACTTAGATCTGGCAATACTGGGGATGGACTTTTTAGAGAGATACGAATTTCTAGTTGACATCAAGAAACGGCGATTAACACTAAAAAAATTTCGTATTACACAAAAGGCAAAGAAAGTCACATCAGCTCTCTTAACTTGATTCAAACTCCCCCAGTAACAACAGCGGAATTCCAAGATATACTCGCGGAATTTCCAAACTTAACTAAACCAAACCCACAGCCTTCTAAGGACAAACTAAAAGTGAGTCACACTATCAAAACCAAAGGTGCACCGGTGTTTGCAAAACCCAGGAGACTAGCACCAGATAAGCTCAAAATCGCTAGGGCCGAGTTTGATTATATGCTAACATTGGGTATTATCCGTCCCTCTGATAGTCAATGGGCATCCCCTTTGCATATGGTCCCAAAGAAGAATGAAGGTGACTGGCGACCGTGCGGGGATTACAGAGCCCTAAACCGTTAAACCGTACCAGATAGGTACCCAATACCGCATATCCAAGATTTCACAAACAGTTTATAGGGTATGAACATATTCACTAAAATTGACCTAGTCAGGGCATATCACAATATCCCGGTGGCTGATGAAGATATCTCCAAGACAACTATTACAACACCTTTTGGCTTATTCGAGTTTGTACGCATGCCATTCGGCCTGAGAAACGTCGCACTTCCTCAGATATTCTTATTCCACATTCTCACACTCTTTCTCTTGAAAGCACGCAGCAAACCGTCAGCGATAGTCGTAGAAGAAATCACATGCTACAAAATATGATGACAAGCTAGTAAATGGAGAGACATCCATGGACTATCTTTGACAGCTGACAGCATCAGTCGTCACTGATTGTAAGTCAAACAGTGAGCGAGTTGGTAATTTTCCCTTGGGATGAGAAATAGAACTAAGGTGTTTTCGATTGATAGGTTAATCGAACCGACGTTCCTACGGAAGTCGATTCTAGGGGGAAGCTAATGTAACAGCTTAGGTTGGTTGATTAAGAGTTGACCTCAAACAACCAAGCATATGCCAAAACAGTATTGTTCAAGTATTCATTCACTTCCTTATTTTGTATAAGTGTTGTATTCCCTATTATCTTATATTGAATGTTGAGAGCCTTTGTTTGTCTGAACAGATAATCCCACGCTCCACTGTGACTGCGCGAAGATCGAAATAAAGACCTATTCACTACTTGTCTGGTTTCTTCTATCAATAGCACGAGGGTTACCTTAAGGCACGAAAGAAGTGCCTTTATTTACAGCTAAAACTGTTGACATTGACAACCCAACCCACTTTTTTCGCCTCAGCTCAAATGCATCACTGCTAAACGCATTATAAACTTAATTCTACCTCTGTAAACTGCATATAACAAGAGAATACGCACTCCAACAATCCGCAGTCTTAACCCTTAACAATGAAACAAATCCGCAACTTGTGGCATCACATTTTATGAACTAAATAATGTAACTGCACATTTCTCATTTTTGTAAGATTTTACTGACTATAGCTTATGCCAAGTAGTGGTGAGAACAGTAAACATTGTAGTGACTCACATTTATCACGAGAACACGACTGGTTTAATAAAAACAATTATTAGTGTAACCAACTGTACCAGTGTTTGTTTTAATGTGCTTTTGTTTAACTGTCCTAATTATAGCCATTTTGTGCTTCCATTACCTTCCATCACTGTTACGCGGTTTTTGGTACTGTTCGCACGTACTCCTGTAGTGAACAAGAACACGGGTGGGGACAATCGATTGTATTTAGCACAAAAATTACAGACTATCTCAATAAAATGTGAATACCATAAAGTCAATCGTCAATTTGCAAAATATCATTCCATCATATCAAACTGTACTGTTCCCGTTGCAAACACTAATCCATTGTCTCCCATTCCATTGTACATGCGTTTTCTTACAATTCCATTGTGCTCTTGCTCTTCCTTTCTTGATCTTCGCCATCTTCTGCTGCCGGACATTACGTTCTTTTAACCCACGTTATATACTACTTATATAAGTAGCTCACACCGCACTCCTTTCTCCTGCTTCCACTTGTACCATTCCTTGGCACGATCTTGGTATTCGTTCAATACCACGAGATCGCCAGCCAAATAAATCTAGTTACGTTCAACTTCGCCTTCTGATTTACTTGGCACGTGTTTCTTGGTAGCGGTGTTCATAGTTAATCTGGACTCGACGCCACGCTACAACTTAAACTTCTAGTCCTTACTTTAAATACTCAGGCCTAGTTAAAAACGGTTGAAGAAATTTTCCGAATCATTTTGAATACTTTTAACGATCATGAAAGACGGATGATCTATAGTTGTAAGGGCAAACTTATGTTATTTTCAAACTTACAACAATAACAAGCTACAGAAGACCCTAATAGACTTGTTAGTTATGTAGAATCTAATCGTACTTAATATTGCGATTTGTTTTTAAGTACCATTTGTCAATAAAAACTCTGCTGTTTCCCTAAGAGCTAGATAATAATCAGCTGCGGTTGTCTTAAGCTTGTCCCTATAATATACTTATGATAATTAGGTTTCGTTTAGTATCTGGTTCTTTGTGTCTTTAATAATTTACTGTAGTTATTCCTTATCCAACAAACAACAACTTTATCACGTGTGTAACAACTTTGATTTTGTAGTTGTATTTCGATAAAGAGGTTA